GAGAGCAGCAGGGCTGAGGGTAGCAGCTGGTCCCCTGCATTTGGGGACTGTGGCCTGCGCAAGGCGGGTGGCTTACCCACGGGCACACAGAGGGTCTGGGGGCAGCTTCTTCACTCCAGACCCAGGCTCCCTGTCAAGTCACACATTTCTCCATCACCTCTGAGTCAATGAACTCATTTTCAATTCTGTGTTTTGGGGCCAGGAAAGTGATGTCCTTTCTTTCTCTGGAATGCCTCCTCTACACTTTTGGTTCCCCCAGATTTGGATCTTCCACACACTGAGAGACAGTCTAGCGCATTTCTGCCCCACAGAACGTCCAGTGATGCTGGCTAAGTTTTGTATCTGCACTGTCCAATGGGACAGCGAGGAGCCATGCACAGCTACTGTGCAAGTGACGAGTGGCCAGTGCAAGTGAAGAACTGAATTTTAAATTCCATTTTGCTTTAAATTTAAATAATCCGAATTGTGTCAGTTATCCCTCAATAAAGCTGGGAGAAAACATTTAGACATTAACATGTGGCTAATGGCTACCATGTCAGACAGCACAGGTCTGGAGTACAGAGCAGCCTTGCAGAGGAGGGGTCAGCACATTCTTTCCATAAAGGACCAGGCAGTAAATCCTGCAGGCTTTGTAGACCGTATGGTCTCTGTCACCACTGCTCAGCTCTGCTGTTGTGGCACGAAGACAGCCACAGCCACTACACACACAATCAGGCGTGGCAGTGTGCCAATAAAACTTTATTTATAGGGACAGGCCATGGGCCAGATTTGTCCCGAGGCCTTAGTTTGCCAACCCTGATATAGAGTACAGAGCTGAAGTTCAAATCTCAGGACTACTGGCCACCAGCTGGATGACCTTGGGCATCTACATCTTATTAAACCTCAATTTCTTCATCTAGAAAAAGGGAACAGTCCTTGTACCCACTTCTCAAGGTGGTTATAAGGATTAAGTGGGAGGCTGCACTCAGCACAAGGCCAACACAGAGTGGGCGTTCAAGAAGTACGTGCGGGCGATGGAACGTGGACACACACTGGGAGCTCAGACTTAACGCTATCCTATTGCTTCCTCCCTCTCCTGTGAAGCGGGCACGATTATTCCTAGTCTATGGAGAAGTGGCTGCGTCAAAGTCAAATGCAATCAAGTGGCAGGACTAGAACCCAGGGTCCCCGCTTCCTGGTTCCTTGCCCTAGTCTCCCTGCCTCTCAGGCTTTTTCCAACTGTCTTCAGTCCTGTCCCAGATTCTGCCCTTCTACAGCACTCGAGGACGTGCCCAAACCTCACACAAGTTTAAAAAACTTGACTTTTTTTATAAAGCAAATCAGAACCCATTCACCTGTGGACAGACCATCCACCGCACGCCCTCGGGAGCCCAGGCATCTGACGGCCCGGGTCTGGGCCCCCGGCCCTGGGAACAGCTCTTCCACTCAGTCTGCAGCTCGCCTTCCGGCCTGTTTAGCCTCAGCCAGGCCCGATTTTTTACTTCTCCTTCCAGTAGGTGAGGGCGTTTGCTAACCTCCCTGGGAATCAGATGAACAGGAGGCTGACAGCCAGACTCATAGCCACGTGCAGCTTACTTACTTCCTAATTTCTCTCCTCGAGACTAAATGCTGCCGAGCCAAACCCCACAGGGCTCAGTAAAGACACCCCAAAAGCCGAGAGGGCTGCTGAACCGCCCAGCCTCGTAGGTTCATTATTTTCCTTCATTAGCTTCCTCTGAGCTGGAGTCACATGCCACACAGTCAACGGGGCCTGGAATCTGGGCTGGCATCTGAGGGTGTGCAGTCCGCAGGAACGCCAGGCGCCAGGAGTCAGGTGATCGAGGCAGAACATTCTCGCGTGTTTGTGTCAGCGGCTCCCCCACCCTTTGAGAACACCAGTGAGAACATGCTACAACTGAGCCCACAGGGCACCCAGACTCCTTTTTCAATCACACCAGCATGGTGACTTTCTTTTCCTTTAAGAGGGGTTAAAAAAAAAGGCAGTTTTACACCGAATTAGACTTTTCCAACTCATGCAATGCCAAAAGCTTTTCTTCGTTTTGATTTCTTTAGTTCTGGGGCCGGCACAGGCAAGAAACAGGAATCTCTTGGGAATCCAAAGTGCCCCCGCTGAAAGAAAGAGCTTCAACTAAGGTAAACAAAGAGCACATCCCTCTGGCCAAATAGATGGTATCTGATGAAAACTCCACGCGTAGGGAGCTAGTCTTTTGCTCTCCAAGGTCACTCCAAGGTCAAAAGGATGGGGCCCCTGAGAAGTCTCCCCGGAAGGTGGCCCCTAGTGAGGGCCGCTGGAGAAGACGGTTCCCTTCTCCTCCTCCTTCCTCAGCAGCGTCCACCTGGTGACCAACCAACCGTCCACTCCCCACTTTGGCCCTGGCCCTGCCCCAGCTCACCACCCCTCTCCTGGGTCACTCTGTGGTCTCCGAGGTCTCTGCTCCAATCCGCCCTCTGCACTGCCGCTCCCTAAGTGCTGGGCCTTCAAAAGTGCAAGCATCAGCGTGTAGCTCCCCAGCTCCCAGCCCTCGGGGATAAAGTCCGGACTCCTTTGTCCAGCACCCACTGCCGTCCTTACCTGGACCAGCCGAGCTGCCAGCCCATCGGCACTCTTAACCTCGAGCCTGCTTATCCTCCACCACCTGCGACTGTCTGGTGCTGTGGGGCCTGGTCTGGAACATCTCCTCCTCCCAGTTCTGTGTCTCTCTAAACTCCTGCTCATGCTTCAAGATTCGGGAAGCCTTCGCAGCCCTCCTCCTCTGGCTGGTTTAAGTGCCCCTCCTGTGACTCCCACGGGACTGTGAACTCACCAGCACCCTGGGTACCCACACCTCCGTTACACTTACTACACTGTGTCTGGCACATGACAGGAACAGAACAAAAACAGCTGCAGTCTGAGCGTCCACGATGCCAGCCTACGAGCTCCTCAAGGACAGGGATTCGGTTTCCTTGTCTCTGAATTCTTCAGGGCCTGGCACAGTTAGTAGGCGCTTACCAGACACAGACTGAACTGGATTGTGCCTGGGGGACTACCAGCATGGCTGAGTGCTCTGTGGTCACCACAGAAACAGTGACACATCTGAAGAGGCACGGAGGGCAAGGAAGATGAGTTCTGTCACATCCGCCAAGACCGGAGGCAGCCCAGATACCTCGGTTACCTCCCTCACACAGCCCCTCAGTCACCAAGCTCCGTGACATCCAAGAAGAGGGTCTGTGTTAAGCCTACTCAAACCCAGCCACCTCGGCGGGGCATCTGGAGAGAGCACTCTAAAGCCAGCCCTAACCACCTGGGCCAGCCTCGGAGGGGAGGGGGCTGCTGCAGCCTGGAGTCAGGGTACCCACCCAGGACCCAGTGAATAACACAGAGTCTTTGCACCCCTGGACGAAGGAGTGTCCCCCAGAGCTGCCCAAAGTATAGCAGGTAATCTCTCATGTCAAGACCATCCACCCTATTCACCCCACAGGACGCCCAGCTGGGGCTGACGAGGGGTGATGCTCAGAAGACACAGGGAGTGGAGACTCAGGAATCACTGGCCTGGGCCAAGAGAAGCCAGCGACCACTGGGGAGGGGACAGGCCCTTTCCTCCATCATCCCAGGCACGAGCTCGTTTCAAAAGCTTTGATGAGCTTAGATGAGCTCTTGCTCCTGAAGAAACTGCTGCTATGTCCAGGTGGCAGAGGGGTCCAGAGGCAGCGGAATCACACCCCAGGAGCTGGTGAAAGGTGGCCAGGCTGGGCCACATAACCTGCACCAGGAGGATGCTGACCGCAGTTGTGAAAGGCCACTCGCCAACTCAAAAGGGGCAAAACGAAATAAAGACATCAGCTGCAGGATCGAAAAAGAATCTTAAAGGCAGTAACTAGATCTCCCACTCAGTCCAGATAGGTGCACGACCACTGAGTTTCTAAAGAATCTGCTCACAGAAGTTGTCAAGAGCAGAGCCAAGATTTTGAGGCCACATCATGACACCTAGATGCATTTAATTTTCTATGTTTAGGACCAAATTAAGTCAATTTTGGTAAACAGAGATTTTGTTTCCTAAAGAGAAAGCTTAAAAGATTTCACCAATCTTAACTCTTGTTAAAGATACACACTGCAAACTAAACTGTAACATATGCTTTCAACCCTCCCTGCCTCCAATCATAAGACATCTGAGAACAGAGAATGCTGGATGAAGGAAGGCTCCACCTGCCCCAGTCTAACTTGTCCAGCCAAGCCCCCTTCACATTTCAGGCCCCTCTGCTCTGTCCCGCCTTCTCCTGTCCACTGGGGCCATGAGGACAGTTGCCCTGGTCCTTCCCCTCGAACTCTCAGCCCTCCATCCTCCTCCCGAACAGCACGCGCCTGCCGCACGCTCCACACCAACATTCACTGGGCTCTAAGTGTCGCCACTTATGGTCTCGCTTGGTGCCCCAAACCCATGGCCTGGGTGCTGTCAGCATGACCAGAGTCCAGATGAGGGGGCCCAGGTGGGAGAGGCAGTCAACTGCCTAAGGGCAAATGGTCAGTGGAGGGCAGACTGGGGATTTGAACCCAGGTGCTAATGCCAGAGCTGAATGCTGCCCTTGCCCTCAATGACACAGACGTGGGTTTCACCTCCACTCTGCCCAAAGTTCCTCTGTGGTTCTTCTCTTACGGGCAGGCTGCCTGCCCTGGACTGCCTCGCAGAACTTCTGCCCGTCCAGTCCAGCTCATGCTCCCAGCTCACATCCCAGGGGCCCCGCACCCTGCACAAGGAGCTTCTCAGACAGGCTCTTACCTGATCCTCCTAAGACTATGGAGGAGGCAGGGCTGGCAAGACGAGAAGCCCAAGGCCCAGAGGGTCACACAGCAAATGAGGTCCAGCAAGTGAGTAGTAGCGTGCTCGCTGCCCGACACCTGAGGAGCCCCATCACTTGACGGCTTCAGGGCCTCGGCAGGAGAGGGGCTCCCGGGACCAGGCCACAGAGGGGCCCTGTCTTCCATACCCCACAGACACCCGGGTCCCCCCGGCCCTACTCCTCACCCAGAGCGCGGAGGCAGCCGGCTGCAGAGGACCTTGCCCTTCCACCTCCAAACATGCAGAGAGGCTGCTCTCAGCCAGCAGATGGAAGCTCCCTTCACTCCCAGGCCCCTGGCCAATGTGAATGCCAGAGCGAGGGGAATTCCAGGCGCAGCCGAGGCCTCTCCCAGCTGGTCCTTGTCCGTCAGGGTACTCCAGCCAGAGGGCAGCCAGGAAGGAGGGCGGCCTCCTTAGGGTTGAGGACGGACAGGCAGCAGCGCCGGAGCCCACATGAGCAACCTCCTCTACCCAGGGTGCTGCTCAAACTGCCGGGACCCAGGGAGACCCCAGACAGACCCTGCTCTCCAGGGCCCCGCAGGCTCTCCCACAGCGGGCTCTACCGCCTGGCCACCAAGCCCCTCTGGGAAGTAGCAGCGTGGTGCTCAGTCAGTAATTGCCAGGGCCCACCCCCGGACGACGCCCCCTGCTTACAGCAGGAACTGCGCCTCCACCGCACTGGGGCAGCCACTGGACCAAGAGGAAGCCTGGTGTGGTGGAAAGAACACAGGCCCGAGGCCGGCCAGAAAGAGCTGAAACCCCACTGTCCCTCCCACCAGAGGCGAGTAATTTCTCTGAGCAGCAGTGTTATCAGCAATAGATGGAGCTAGTCCCTCGGCCGCGGACTGCGCTGAGGATTACAGGAACTAACGAAGCAGAGTGGCCGGCTCCACGAGGGACACCCAATAGGTGCCCAGTCAGTGTCTGCTCAGTGAATGCAGGAATCACAGCCCCCTCTCCCCCACCTCACTTGGCCCCAAACCAACTCCGAGCACAGGAGAAAGAGCCCTTATTTACCCACCACCACTAATGCGCGGGAGAGCAGATGGACTTCGCCAAAGCGACCAAAACCCTTTTCCATCCAGCTCAAGGTTTCAGCACTTTCCACCAGGACTCAGTTTCCCTGGCTGAGGGTTTAGGGAGCCTACACTTGCAGCAACCTAAGTGATTCCTGCTGTGAAGGCAGCGTGGGAGGAAGTATGGGATGGACTGTTAAAAGTCGACCGAGAGCAAAGGTGTGTCTCACTAGGCTGAAGAACTCTGAGCAACGACCACACCGCCTACAGGTCTGGGCTACAGCGTGCTGTCCTGCAAGCAAGGACTGTCTTACAGGAGAGAAGGCAGCATTCCAGCAGGGGACCCAGGAGACGCAGGTTCTGGTCCCTCTGTGTGCTGAGCCTGTGACCTTGGGAACGTCACCGCATCTCTTGGGGTGGGATTTCTCTTCTGTAAGATCACAACAGCAGGCCACAGCAGCTCTTGCTCTCTGCGGCCCCTGGCCTTCCTAAACATAATTCTACGAAGCGTGGGCCCAAGTATGTAGGAGGACAAGTTCCCAGCCATTAGGTACAGCCAGGTGGCTGACAGCATGACACTGACTGCAAGCCGAGGTGAAGAGGGCCAACAGCCCACTGAGAATCACCAAGACACAACCCGGATCCAAACCGCATCCTCCCTCCCCAAGCCCCCAAGGGGTACCGTGCGCCAAACCTCCAGAAGGAACAAGAAGGCGAAAAGACCAGGAGGATGGTTCGGGTGCTGGGCCTGCCTGAGCAATACCCTGAGACAACAGACTGAGTTAAACCTGCCCTCTTCGTCCCAGAGAGAAGGTGGCTCAGAGGGGCTGTACCGAGTCCTGTGCGGGGAGGTGCACTCACGACCTGGCCCAGCAGAAACAGGAACTACCTGGATGATGTGGGCAGCAGGCACTTCGCCCAGGGGTGGGTACTTTTCAGATCCTCCTTCACTGAGACATGGCAGCAGTGGAAAATTCCAATAGGTTTATTACACTCCTGAACAGGAAGGTCCCTAATCCCCTGCTAAGGGAAGCGAGGTATACATGGGGTCTATTTCAGCCCTCATTCCTCAGTCTCAGATGCACCACAGAATCAACTGAGAAGCTTAAAAAAACACCAATGCTGAGTCCTCCCCCTTCTCTTCCAGATTCTGGTGTAACTGGTCCTGAATGCTGTCTGGGCATCCAGTATTTTTTTTTTTCCTAACTTCTTCAGGTGATTCTAATATGCAGCCAAGGCTGAGAACCACTGAGGTGGATTCTAAAAACTCGGTGCATGGGGTCCCAGCCCTCTCTCACAAAGTCTTTAGGAGCAGAAAGGGCAGCAGACTCAGCCGGGCAGGCCTTGCTGGAGACGGGTATCCTCACCCCACCCCCAGCTCCCACCCCCATACGCAAACAGGATCAACCTGCAAAGAGCCATCTGTCTGAGACAGAATGCAGGACCTCTGCCCGGCCCTGGCTGGGGTGGACCAAGGGCCCACACGGTGGAGGATGTGCAATTGTGTTTAGTTATTTGATTACTTTAGGCATGTAAACAAAATGTGATATTGTACAAACCTGGGGTGGCAAGCACCACAAAATGATTTACTTTAAGACATCTGAATTACAAATGCAAAAGAGAAAAAAATGCTGGAAACCCTTTTAACAGTCTCTTTGAATGGAAAATGGGATGTGAATGGATGGTGATGCTTCTAGTGAGCTGCCAGATTTATTTCCCATTTCCCCCAGAAGGTCACTGGGAATAATTATATTTTCTTGTGAATCTGTCTTCTGCAAGGATGAAGCAAAACATTTCAGTCTTCCCAAGTGAGGCACTGCCTTTGGTCCTATGGTACATACAGAATCCAATCACTCCTTTAAAGGGGGAAAAAAAAAGGCTGCAGGAAAAGGAGGGGCAAGGGAAAGAGGCAGTTAAAATTTCTAAGTTTCCCTGTGGTGTTAACAAGACTAAACAAAATTTATGCTTTGAGATAAAACAGAACCTAGTGCCGCTGTCTTAAGAACACACCAACCGATAGCATGGTGTATGGACAGCAAGCATGCTCTGAAGACAGACCTGAATAAGAGCTCCCAGCTGCTCTGGCTTCCAGCTGTGTGGCCTTGGGCCAGTTACTTGGCCTCTCTGAGCCTCAGTTTCTTCAGATTTAACTGCAGGACTACTTTGAGAATTAGACTGCATGCAAAGCCCACTGCCAAGGGTGAGCCTTCAGCAACCAACTCCTATTCTTCTTTGAATGGTCCACGCTCATTTCAGTGAAATCTTGCTGCACCCAACTTTTCTTGGTCCTAGATCTTGGGATCTTCACATTATACCAGCCCAGGAGGAGAAGCTGTTTCTTTGTTTCATGGGAGAGTGAACAGAGCAATAGCAGCCAGGAGTTGGCCTGCCCCTGCATTCTGGGGTCAAACGGGCTGTTTACTGACATGATTTGCGTTAACCTCCGGAGAGGCCCCATGGAAAGTCCGTCCAGGGACTGCAGACACCTAAGGGGTGCTGTTGTTTCTGTGATATTCCTGCCCCGCCTGGCCAAGCTACCCCCATCCCCCCTGCAAAAGGCAGCTTCCCGTGCAGCCCCCCCAGCAAGAGAGGAGAACCGTAAGGAAGCGGGGTGCCTGTCACACTTCTCCGTAACCCCTGACGTGATGTGAAATTCTACAAGGTAGACCCTTTGAAATGCAAAATCTTCCAGAGTCCTTCAAATGTGTTTTTATTTTCTCGGGTTCCTAAGGCTGCTTTCAGACCCACCCATCAGCATTTCCCCTCTCAATCAACCCACACTTAACAAAAAAAGAAGATGAGGAAAAAGAAGGAGGAGGAGGAGGCAGCTGCAGCAAAGACGTCTCTGTTTTTTTGAAAAAGCTCAAGTATCTCCAGTCGCTGCAAGGGGAAAAAAAAAAAAAAAAAAACTTGTCCTCCGCTCCAGCCTCCCCGCATCCTTCCTCCAAGACACCCTGAAGCCAAGTTTCCTCTGGAAGATTTCCTCCCATCCTGACCAGCATGACACTAACTCTGCTGCGGCTCAGAGTCTCCGAGAACTTTCTTAAGACGAGAATCTGGGTGCCCCCTGACCAGAGTTCAGGAGGGTTAAGACAGGCACCACCAAAACCACAACCCACAATTTTTGAAGTCCAAACCTTGATCCAAAACTGTGTGCACAGGAGGTTTGGATTAAACATCAAAGAAGAAGTTACCTTAAAACAAAGTTGTTTGGCAAAGAAAATTACTTCACCATAAGAAGAACCCTAGGGAACGGTAAATTGCTTTTGAATATAGACTTTTCAGTGGCGCAGTCATTAATCATGTTAATGTAAACTGCGCTAAAACAAAAAATTTCTAAGCAAGTCTCCGGGCACATCAGCATATCTAAGCCTCTGGGTTTGTTTCCAAAGTTCACATCCCGGCACGCAATGAAACTGCTGTTAATGGGGTCAGCTATTACAGTGCAGTCCCCGACCTTGGGCCATAATAAAGGTGACTCAGTCGTGTAGAAAGAACCCTCGTAAAGTTAGGCAGGAAACAAACACAGAAATTAATCAGAGAAGGAGAGTCAATGATTTTGGAAAGTTTATTCATTGGGCAAGTTTAAACAGCAACCCTCCCTGGATGATCAGACATTTCAGAAAGGAGTTGAGGGAAACCAGTCAGCATCTTCACAGCACCCAAGTCCCTTGGCCAGGCCCTGTTTTGTAGGGTGGAGGGCAGGACAGCAGCTGGTTGAGGCGAGGAGCATTGGAGCCCAGCAGAGTCAAGCTGAGCTGAGCCCTGCCAGACCCGGCCATGTGCTTCATGCTGGCAACAAACCGGTTCTTTCAAGAGAGGAAGAGTCTGACAAAAAGGACAGCTGCAGCAAAGGGAGAAGCTGAGAGGCAAAAACCCCGAAAAAGCCCTGGGTTTGAGATTCTCCCGTCAAGTCAAAAAAAATAAATAAATCACCTTTGGAGTTTGCAAGGGCTAGTTAATCTACTAAAGTGTCCTCATTGCTGGATCAATTAGAGAGAGCCCCTCCACATCTGGTTTCCATCTAAAACCGAAACTTGTATTATCAGCATATTACATAACAAATTATGCCTGCAGGTTTCTTTTATTACACATCAGAGAGGTGTGTGTAGTGGTGGTAATGATGGGGGTTGTGCTGATCTGAGTATTTGCTTATTTCAGTCTTTTTTTTTATTTTTTTAAGGGCAAGAACAAAGTTTTCCACAGAGTATGCAATGCAAAAGTCACACTGCCTGGATGAAACATCAACTGAACAATCCAACAGTGGGTCCACGGCTCAGTCTCAAGGTCCCACTGTATCAAGCAGTGGGTAAGAAGGGTGTGCTTTTCTTTTAAAGAGCAACGCAAAGATAAACCAAATTGCTCCGAGGCGTCCTCTGCTGCCAGCTCCCAGATTTTACACAAGGCTCTCTCCACTCCAGCCTCCTGCAGGGGAGGAGAGCTGGCTGGCCTTTCCTGGGCTTCGATCATGGGTCATGTGCCTGCTCCCTGAACCCACTTAAAGGACACCCAGCCCACTAGGCTCTTACAGAACTGGAGAGACGGAGAGGCCAGGCA